ATGGCAAGGACGTGGTGTACGACACGGAGTTTTGCCGTGCGCGACCCCGGGTCTTCCCTGGGTCTTCCCCGGGTTTCGTCACCCGGCGACCCCGGACACGTCTGGTTTGAAGGGCGACACGTTTTGTGGGGCGACACGTTTCCGGGGTCTTTCTCAAATGATTACATGATCAACCAACCTAATATATGTTTCTGAATATACATGTATATATATATATATACATTGTAAGACTGCAGAAGAAATAGGGTTGCTGCCAAGTTGCTGCCACTCCTCACATTGACATTTCGTTGTTTTCTCGAACAAACAGAGCTCACGATATGAGCAGCATCTTTTTTGCAGCAGCTATATTATAGCTGTTGCCATTCGATCCATTTGTGCTTCGAGCAGATTGGCAAGGTTGGCGACTGGTCAACCACACATTGAGGCTGGGCGATTCAGCATACTTCTTCACTTGTCAAACCATCAGAGAGGCAAGCCCCACGTTCTTCCGTTGAAAAACCATCAAGATTTGTGGCGCCGTCCTTTCAAGTGTCATTTCATCTGAAGGGATTGATGCAAGCTCCTGCACTCGCTGTACAGGTGACCAGCGCAGTGAGGGGGACTGTGCGAGTTTGCCTGAAGGGTCCTTGCTGAGCTCCCTCTGTACAGATCACAACTGGGGCAAGCCACCTTGTTCGACCGAAGTTCAACCAGACTCTCACCGAGACCTTCACGTCCAACATTTTGTTTCATTATGTTTGTTTTGTTCTAGTGACTTTGTGGTTCCATTGACTTACCAGGTTTTTTGAGGCCCCTTAAACCGGTTCGCCTGAAGGCGACCGGTTATTATCTTGCAAAGCAAGCTGGATTATGCCAATGCTCAACCATCCAAAAGACCTCTCAGCTTGTTGATTGCAGGTAGACAGAAGCACAGCACGATACAGCACCCAGTGAGAACAGCTACACGAATTTTTAAGTGTCCATCCAAGGAAGGCCCTTGCTGCTTGCCGTAGGTCTTGCACACCCCTGGTTTTTCAGTACCTCTTCGTACTTCTTACAGAATCTTGCAAAATCAGATAGGGATGCGGGCAATACGCTTGGAATGCTCTTGAACAGTGCCGGTGGCCTTCTGGAGCTGGTCTGGAGCTGGCCTGGCCTTAACAACTCGCTTGTGGCTTCAGCAGAAGCTTAGATTTGCTTGGTCAACGCCTTTCTGCAACATTGTTGTGGCTGTGGCCAGAACCACAATGCGTTGAAGGTAGGAACATGACTCTCACTCTTCAACAGCTGGCCATGCTTTGCTTGCATCAGGTTCCCACCACCAAGAGGAGCACAGCGAGTTCATGCGAGATCGCACAGGTACCTTGGCACCTTGCCTTCCTTGTCTTTACCCTTCAGTGTGACCCCTGACCTTGTGACTAAGTTGTGGTACTCAAGTACGGCTTGCAGACATGTTCAAAGCCAGAAGTGGAAACCCAATTGAAAGCAGTCTTGTTTCCAGCACTACAGGGTAGTGAGGGGCAAGACGATGGCAAACTCATGAGGCAGTCTACGCATACTTTGCTTTCCCAGGAAAGGTGCAAAGGGGCGTCTCCACAATGAGTTTTGGAGGGATTTTCATTTCCTAGCTTTCGTTCCGCCAGTTGTGGTGTGCTCATGGCGTACCCAGGGCTCAGTACTTCCGCCTGAGGCAATGGATGCGCCTCCGGAGCCACCGGAGCCGGAAGGCGCCATCCAATGTATGTGGACTCCCAGCTAACATGAGAAGGCCTTGTCAAAGGGATGCCGGCCACCGTGGATGCTGAGCCTACCATTTCTTGGGTTTGGACCGCCACGTGCCACCTGATAGAACCCCTCCTTCCAATGATGTGACGAACACATCACCGCCGCTTGGGGCAGGTGTGGATTTGGAAGTGAGGCCATCCCTCCTAGGTGAGGAAGTCGACGTCATTCCTGCTCCATTTTCCCAGCAGGGTTTGCTCATGGTTATATACTCATGGTTACTCGAATCTCAATGATCTTAATATACCTTCATGAACTTGTTACTTCCTTGTATCACGAGTACGTTGAACCAAAAGCGGTTGTTTCCTTGATCTCCAAGTTGATCAGGAGAGGATGCGGGAAATGGCTTGTTTGTGAAGCAGGCCGGGACCAAACAAGGGCCTTGAGGGCCTCAAGGGCCTCATCAACCAGCACCCGAACGCCACGGGGCAAGAGCTGGGGACTTGGCCAGCTGTGCTTAGGCGGTGCTGCCTGGGCAGGTGCTCTGTGAGTATCACGGGAGACTGCTGAGCACCGCTGAGGCTGGGAACTCCCTGTCGCCCATGAATTCATGAAGGGGGGATCCATTGCTCTTTCAATAAATTTGAAATGTCTCGAAGCTCCTGGGGTGTCAGCGTCCAGAGAACAAGGAAGGAAGAGGAGAGTCTCTTCTGTTTGATGCCGCGACTGTAGCATCCCATCAGTCAGAGTCCAGCCAGAAGGCACAAGAGGGTTATACTCTCCTCACGTCATTTTCATTGAAGCATGCCTCAGTCCCTAGCAACAAACCCACCTTCTTCAAGCACACTTCAATTTTGATCGAGTTCCTTCTGACATGTGGTTGTTGTTGTAGTTGTAGTTGTATGCAGTGGCACAGTTATCCAACACGTCTCGGAAGAGTGGACTCGAGTGGCCTTTCCACAGATGTCGTGTTGCCAACTAAGATCGGAGCGAGCATGCACTGTTTGCCAGTTGGAACTAGTAGCGATGCCCTTGTTACTAAAGCTACTTCCCTGGAGACTCTGTGGTTCTGTGCGGTTGACCATTTTACTTTCCGAAGGCGATGCGCTTGGAGAACAAGTCCTATCTCATGCGTATTGGTCCACAGGACTGATTGGCCCACCGTCGTTTTACTTTTTGGATCCAACTGACCTGGACACATTGCTTGGCTCCGAGCTGGATTTAGCAGCTCGGATAGCCAGAAGTGAAAGTCCAGTGAAAGTGAACAACTATGAGAAAAGACAGGGACACAGGATGACACTGCACACTTGTGGAGCTGTTTTTCTTGACAGCTTGTGAAGGAGTATATCGACGCCCGTGAGGATGAGTCAGTGCTGGCCCGCTTTATCAACGACTGTCGGAACCCTGCTGTCCTTGCCTCAGGGAGCCTTTGCAGTGCTTCATTCTTCTTCATCAATCCTAGAAGAACAAGACATGCAGGTCTTTGAGGTCGTAAAGATCATTGAGACAATCCCAAACTGTTGGTTTGGTCGGTTTTTTGGTCTGCTTTATCGAACTAGCCCTTCCAAGGCTTCACGTCGGTGGACTAAAATGTTTAGAATATTCCAAGGCTTCGGGTCGGAGTTGGGCAGAATCTTTCGATAGCGTCGGAGTTGGACTTCGCTTTTGGTTCTCAGTGATCGGACGCACATCACCCATGTTTCTGTTGAGAAAAACAGGAAAGCACGGGAAACAAAGCAGATCAACAAAGCAAGTCCCTTTGAGGGACCCAAGAAAAGGTGGGTCCCAAATGAGATACAGTAACACTAAAACACTCACAACTGCCTTCAAGCCCTGGAATGGTGGGAAGTTCAGATTGCAGTTTTACAAGATCTCAGATTTCCTGAAGTCGACTGCGGCGTTTGTTTCTCCAAAACATTTGTGTCAAGAGATCGCAGTCGACTTCGCTTGGTTTTCTTCTCAGGTGTACAACGTGCGGTTTGACAAACGGCCCGGTGAAGCCAGAGCCGTCGTGGTGGCCGTTCGACCCATCTGCGCTGGAGAGGCGCCGATCGGTTCCACCACTGTGGCGCTGCAAGCTGGGCAATGTGTTTCTACTAGCTTCTTGTTACTACTAGTAAGGCACTTGTTACTAGTAGCG